ACAGTGGCAACTCAGTCTGGACGTATGACACTCAGTTGGAAACAGTGGCAACTCAGTATGGACGTATGACACTCAGTTGGGAACAGTGGCAACTCAGTCTGGATGTAGGACACTCAGTTGGGAACAGTGGCAACTCAGTATGGACGTATGACACTCAGTTGGGAACAGTGGCAACTCAGTATGGATGTATGACACTCAGTTGGGAACAGTGGCAACTCAGTATGGACGTAGGACACTCAGTTGGGAACAGTGGCAACTCAGTATGGACGTATGACACTCAGTTGGGAACAGTGGCAACTCAGTATGGATGTATGACACTCAGTTGGAAACAGTGGCAACTCAGTCTGGACGTATGACACACAGTTGGTAACAGTGGCAACTCAGTCTGGACGTATGACACTCAGTTGGAAACAGTGGCAACTCAGTATGGACGTATGACACTCAGTTGGGAACAGTGGCAACTCAGTCTGGATGTAGGACACTCAGTTGGGAACAGTGGCAACTCAGTATGGACGTATGACACTCAGTTGGGAACAGTGGCAACTCAGTATGGATGTATGACACTCAGTTGGGAACAGTGGCAACTCAGTATTGACGTATGACACTCAGTTGGGAACAGTGGCAACTCAGTATGGATGTATGACACTCAGTTGGGAACAGTGGCAACTCAGTATGGATGTATGACACTCAGTTGGGAACAGTGGCAACTCAGTATGGACGTAGGACACTCAGTTGCGGAACAGTGGCAACTCAGTATGGACGTATGACACTCAGTTGGGAACAGTGGCAACTCAGTATGGACGTATGACACTCAGTTGGAAACAGTGGCAACTCAGTATGGATGTATGACACTCAGTTGGGAACAGTGGCAACTCAGTATGGATGTAGGACACTCAGTTGGGAACAGTGGCAACTCAGTATGGACGTATGACACTCAGTTGGGAACAGTGGCAACTCAGTCTGGACGTATGACACACAGTTGGTAACAGTGGCAACTCAGTCTGGACGTATGACACTCAGTTGGAAACAGTGGCAACTCAGTATGGACGTATGACACTCAGTTGGGAACAGTGGCAACTCAGTCTGGATGTAGGACACTCAGTTGGGAACAGTGGCAACTCAGTATGGACGTATGACACTCAGTTGGGAACAGTGGCAACTCAGTATGGATGTATGACACTCAGTTGGGAACAGTGGCAACTCAGTATTGACGTATGACACTCAGTTGGGAACAGTGGCAACTCAGTATGGATGTAGGACACTCAGTTGGGAACAGTGGCAACTCAGTATGGACGTATGACACTCAGTTGGGAACAGTGGCAACTCAGTATGGACGTAGGACACTCAGTTGGGAACAGTGGCAACTCAGTATGGACGTATGACACTCAGTTGGGAACAGTGGCAACTCAGTATGGACGTATGACACTCAGTTGGAAACAGTGGCAACTCAGTATGGATGTATGACACTCAGTTGGGAACAGTGGCAGCTCAGTATGGACGTATGACACTCAGTTGGAAACAGTGGCAACTCAGTATGGATGTATGACACTCAGTTGGAAACAGTGGCAACTCAGTCTGGATGTATGACACTCAGTTGGAAACAGTGGCAACTCAGTCTGGATGTAGGACACTCAGTTGGGAACAGTGGCAACTCAGTATGGATGTAGGACACTCAGTTGGGAACAGTGGCAACTCAGTATGGACGTATGACACTCAGTTGGAAACAGTGGCAACTCAGTCTGGATGTATGACACTCAGTTGGGAACAGTGGCAACTCAGTCTGGACGTATGACACTCAGTTGGGAACAGTGGCAACTCAATCTGGACGTATGACACTCAGTTGGGAACAGTGGCAACTCAGTATGGATGTATGACACTCAGTTGGGAACAGTGGCAACTCAGTATGGACGTATGACACTCAGTTGGGAACAGTGGCAACTCAGTATGGACATATGACACTCAGTTGGGAACAGTGGCAACTCAGTCTGGACGTATGACACTCAGTTGGAAACAGTGGCAACTCAGTCTGGACGTAGGACACTCAGTTGGAAACAATGGCAATCCAGTTATATTTATTATCTCTCCCGCTAGTAATATAGACCCTCATACACAATACAAAAAATGTATATATAAATTCCATATCTACATCACTATCAGTGATTCAGGAAGCCAGTTGCAGTTTTAACTCCACGGCCGAAAGAATTTCATATAAACAAATAAATATTTGACATAGCGGTTTATTTTTATTTCGACCAACCTTTTGTGTAAGTAAGTGTGGTCTTACAGGGTGCACTGTTATCCCTCTCTTAAGAAATGCTCCATCCCTGGACACATTTCGATCCAATCTAATTGATGACTCTGGTGTATAACATTAGCTCACCAACTCTCCTACATATATGTCTACAGTTTCGAGAGACCACTTCCGTGGTCCAGTGGATAGAGACATTCAAAGATGGTACCTTCTGTTACCCTGCCTGGTGCTCAACATTAGGGGGAGATAACGAGGACGGGTCGGCTCATAGTCAATGTACTGCATATGTGTCTTGAGTGGGGTATTCATGTTAAACTGCTACAATGTACTATAAAACCAGAAAGTCTGGACTAGTACAAGCAGCCACACACATGCAATAATCTTGAACATGACGTTAACCCCATTTCATTTTAGGGCGGTTGGGTAGCCTAGTTGGTTAAAGCGTTCGCTCGTCACGCTGAAGACCCAGGTACGATTCCCGAAATGGGTACAATGTGTGAAGCCCATTTCTGGTGTCCCCTGCGTGATATAGCTGGAATATTGCTAAAAGTGGCGTAAAACCATACTCACTCACTCACTCCATTTCATTTTAAACTCCTCACCTAACCTCACCTCACACACCTCACCTCACCTCACCAAATGAAACAACCATATTTAATTATGTATTAATTTATTTCAATTGAAATATACAGTCACATGACAGGAAATTGTACTCAAGGCTTTCAAATTATACATCTTTCTTTACAAAATAATATAATTCAAATACATGTATGATCAATGCCAAAATCAATAATTTCATGTCTGTTTCAATTCAAACAAAAGTTTTACTTCTGTAACTTCAATCTGTTGTATGTGGACAAAAAACAGAAAATCATCTAAACATGCAGTGTAGTAATTTATGAAAGCCATTATCAAATAAAATATTTTGACTAAAAAATATTGAACGTGCACCAAATTTTGTGGATGTTGCTGTGGCCTTGTTATTGAGAGCTAAGGCTAGTCTTAAAACTATCAATACACAGATTGTCTGGACTGGTGTGAGCACATTACTGTTAGGCACTATAAAGGTTATCTCCCTGGGTGTTTGCAACAGCAAGCTCCTTCCCAGCCCTAAGTTACCCGCCCATTATCGTCGCTGCCACCAGTATGCAAACGGCCATTACAAATCTCCCTCTAACCCAAAATGTAGTGTTATTTTTTTTATGTCTTTGGGAATGCCATTATAGTGAATTGAGAAAAGGTTAACGACTAACTTACTATTTCGCCGATGAATATATGTTTGTTTAATCAGATTGGTGGGAGACTTGAGACTAATGGAAAAACACCCAACTTCCCCCTTACATTCTCTCTATAATACTTCCATTATAGTTAAGAGAAAGAAAAATTCAAATTGTCAAAGAAACAAAATAATTTAGTTTGGGAAATATTTGGTGTTATGATTGTTTGTAAACATAGGGTCAGTCGATTGCAAGTTCAACACATGCATGGTTGCAAGCTGCCTAGCACAGTGGGGAGCTTTAACTGGTGGCAGTGACAGTATAGAGAGGTCAGCAAATGGGCTAACCCTGTGAGGAGCTTGTATGCACTCGGTGTACGCTCAAGTCACTATTTTTGGACATTCAGTTGCAGATGGCCCTTTTGAAGGACTATCCTTCTGAAGTCACTTTGTAGAGTTGTGTCCCTTGTAAGGCTGAAACGCCTCGCTGATGCACCTGGCTGTGATTCACCATAAGCTAAATTCTGTATCAATGCGTATCATTTCACAAATGAGTTTAAATAATCTTCACATCATTTTCAAACTGACAGTCAACATTTTGGGTTTAAAACAAGAAGTTAATTCTTCAGCCTGATCTATCAACAATCGAAATAATGCATAGTGTCAGAATGTGATTTGGGTTAAAAATCAAAACCTGTATACCAGCTTCAAAAACTGTTTTACTCCAAAAACCTAATCATGCTACACATTGTACAACGAACAATCTATTGTAATATATGTATCATAGCTTCAGTATATCATTTTAAACCTGATCTCTAAACAAGAATACACATAAATATCTCGAAAACATAAAAAAAGCATCTTCCTGAGACAAGGGAGTTTCACTGACTGTAAAAGTCCAGTTTCTACCCTTGCCGAACGAGGCGGCAATTATGGAGTTATATTTTGGCTGGACTAACTACCTGTGCATAATCCAATCAAAATCAGATTTCAGTCGAATGCAGGATTTGTGGAGCATGTGTATTGTTAGTTGGGCGTCAAGAGATATTTTCTCAATCTTTTCATGTTTTTAATCAAGGTGCTCAAGTGATTTGATGTACTTTGTGAGGTAAGACCCATTTTATTACAATAAAGATCTTGATTATCAATCAGATAGTCTTTACTGGGTGCCGCCATTTTGTTTGAAAAATATGCAAGTGATATGAGAGTTGGAATCTGATTGGTCAATAGGAGGGACAGGAAAGGGACATCACTCGTAACTGTCACTGGTGGAGCTACGATTGAGCCCAGAAATTCCAGCCTAGTTCAGCAAGGGTGGTCACAGGACATTCATAGTCAGTTTATACTCCCTTGCCTCAGGAAGATGAAAGAAATGTGTTTGAAGCAAACTCTTAATACATAACTAAAATGTCTTGAAAATACAAATGCAAAATGCTGAAAAATATTACAAAATATAAACTTTCGCTTCCAACAATAAGCCTGACTTGCATGCTTAAGACTTCAATGTTGTTGAATTAGCATTTTTGACTGAAAGACATGATTGAGATGGGTGTCCATACACTGCAAATAACTTGAATTTACATTGGACACAAAACGTTCAGAAAGGTCTGGCATTGATTTCCTGCCCTTACATATCATCATACCAGCAGGTCTTGTGTAGGACTCCACACTCTCAGACCATAACAGCTTCCTCTAGGGCTGGGATGGGTAACTCGGGTACACGGTGGGTGAGTCCTGAGTAGGGCCCAGATACCCACTGGACTGCCCGGAACTGTGGTCAGTCACGTGATATATTGTTTAATGATGATGCAGTATAACTCCATGGATACATGAGTTGCTAAATTTGTTTATTTGTTTGTTTGTTGCCGCACTCAGCAATGTTCCAGCTATATGACGGCAGTATGTAAATAATCAAGCCTGGACCAGACAATCCAGTCATTGACATCGTGAACATCGATCCACACAATTGGGATATGATGACATGCATCAACCAAGTCAGCGAGCCTGACCTCCCGATCCCGTTAGTCCCCTCTTACGGCAAGCATATTGCCTTTTACGGCAGGCACTGGTTGCTGAAGACCTACTCTACTCCAGATCTTCACAGGTCAGTTGCTAAATATTCATATTTCTTGATGACTGTGGATGCATTCCTTCTGACTTTTATTTGTTTGAGTAGATACAGCTTCTGTCAACTTTTGTGCATGTATCTGAGCAGCTTTAATTTTGCCAGAACTCCGGTAAAACTTAAGACCTACAGCACGTACCAATATTGGGTTGGGTAATCGGGGGTCGGGTACCCAGGTAGTAAATTTGGACTCTGGTAAAACTTAAGACCTACAGCGCGTAACCGGATAGGGTTGGGTATAGGGGGTCGGGTACCGGGGTAGTAAATTTGGACTCCGGTAAAGCTTAAGACCTACAGCGCGTACCCGGATAGGGTTGGGTAATCGGGGGTTGGGTACCCGGGTTGTAAATTTGGACTCTGGTAAAGCTTAAGACCTACAGTGCATACCCGGGAAGGGTTGGGTAATCAGGGGTCGGGTACCCAGGTTGTAAATTTGGACTCATCCCAGCCCTACTTCCTCTGATCCTGAAGGTAATCATTAGCATAACAACAAATGATTTAATTGAGCAAATAATAATTGATAAACAAAAAATGAGCACTTGCAATCAAAAGTTAGCATATTAAAATCAATTATATCATGTTCATTCCTCCATATAATTCCTAAGTAAGAATTAAAGTTTTTTAGTGGTTCAAAAATACATTAATCCATAACTTGCTAAAAAATGACATGAATTAATATTGAAAACTATTTAAAAAGTTCAGCCCAAGCAAATTGAAATTCATGAATCTTTTGTGAGGTAATGTGTTCCTTGTGAAGAGTGAATAAGTGATTTGGGTTTAACACCGCTCTTAACAGTATTCCAGTTATATCACAGTGTGTCAGCTCAATGTGGGAAGAAAGCCTGATGTGATGCAGGCAGGTCTTAGATGTTTTCTACTTCGGTGAAACCAACGAGCACGGGTATGGTGCTGACAAACCTAGAAACATAATCAGGGAGAACGGGGATTCGAACCCACAATCATAGGTGTCTGGCGTGCCCAAGGGACGCAACTCTGCACAGCGAATTGCGGCACCTTAGACGACTGGGCCACATGTGACCAACCTTGTGAAGAGACACACCCAACAGTACTCCTGGATTAAGGTGACAGTTCACATAGGTTGCCAAATGTAGAGATTTAACGAGTGAAGGACCCTAGTGCAAAGAAAGTCTAGATTCTGGTTGACCAGATTTTGGTAAAGATGGAGAACTCAGTTCAAAGGCAACATCGTGAATTTTTTGGACATGATGAAGATGGGTATCCACACACTGCAAATAGCTTGAATTTACATCGGACACAAAACGTTCAGAAAGGTCTTGCATTGATTTCCTGCCCTTACATATCATCAACTAGCAGGTCTTGTGTAGGACTCCACACTCTCAGACCATAACTGCTTCCTCTAGGGCTGGGATGGGTAACTCGGGTACTCGGTGGCTGGGTCCCGAGTAGGGCCCAGATACCAACTGGACTACCCGGACCTCAAAGGCAACATCGTGAATTTTTTTTGTCAATCTAACTCTGACTTGTGTTTTCTGTGACTTAATAAAGGAAAAAAATAATTTATTGGTTCAAATTATAAAAAAAAAAGAAGGAAAATGAAGGGCAGTAACTCTGATCACAACTGACCATATTCCTTGTTTCTGTGAAAAAGATTTGAATTGATTTATTCACATTGCAATGCATGTTTCAGAAGCCAATATATCATTAATGAGACATCGAGTTGGTATTCCTAACACGTTTGAGTCATGTCTTAAACACTGCCGTCTTAAGCAACCTAAACGTCATGTACGTCAACCAAACAGTTACACATCATTTCCTTACACAGAGATAATGACACACAGCACTAATTACACCATCATTGTAGCGTTACGACAACAGTAAGTCGATGTTAAGGTATAGGAGCTACGATCACCTCAGAACTACTAATATCACTATGTGGAACAAACCAAGACTGGGTTGGAAAGAAGAGCAGACAGCAAAGCCAGTCCCTTGGAAGTAATACACACGAGACTTTGGTAATCTAACAATTAAAGCTAGGAAATAAAGCTAGATATATACAGTAAGTAGTTTTACATTTGTTAATTCAGGAATAAGTTCCTCCTTCATGAATCAGGAAAAAGCAGACATTCTCTTGATTAATGAATTGATTAATCATTATGCTAATTACACAAAAAGAACACACAATAAATGTAACGTTAGCCCATAAGCAAGTTAGGTGGGTAATTAAAACAAAAACGTGCTTGGTATTGCATATTATTGAAGTGAGTATATTGATCCCAAGGCATAAGCACAGAAATGTGAATCTCACTACTAAACCAAAATATTGCTTCTATAAGGTGATTCATATTTTTAGTCAGTTTACAGGTGTTTGTTTTGTTCTTAAAATTTCCATGGCCAAAAAACAAAAACTGTCTCTAAATGAACATGTATTTCCTGAATTAATATCCCTCGACTGCACTCACAAGGCACATGAATTTTGCAAGTTTCCGGCTCCACATCCAGATGGCAAATATCAAAGGGCCGTAACTCTTATAGGTCTACATCGCTTCAAACTTAAATGGTAAACACTTCACCATGTATTTCATATTTCGCAATAAATCCTCTTTTCAACAAAAACTAAATTGAGTGATATTTCATGTTAACATATTTTTAACATATTTCTTTTCTTATACCATCAGCAGTATATAAAAAAATATATCAAGAACGTCATTTAAATTTTATTTTGCTATTTTCTTTATGTCGGTGGATCCTTAACAAACAAAAAAAATTAATCACCTGTAATATTTTCAAAAACTACAAACACCGGTATCATTTAATTTTACTTTGAATCTCCATGCTCTATTTCCTTATAGTCAAATGTTTCTTCATGGAAGAAGTATTGCTAAAAGTTTTGGAAATGTGTTTCAAAATTAACCAAGAAAAAATTGCCATAAATGCCTTGTCTGAGTTCACAAATCATCCGAATATCTATGGTAATTATGTACATCTGTTCCAAACATCCATACTACAACATAAACAGTTGCTCAAACTCTTGCATACATATAGAGACCAATCTCATTTAAATCAGATCTGACTTCTGATTGGCCAATGTCGGTTTCTTGTCAGTCATTTCATTGGTCGATCAAAATTCGCGAAAGGTCGTTCTGACGTGACTGGTAATGGGATGTCCTCAGATCTTTGGTTAGCAGTAGCGAAAACTAAGATCTGATTTTAATGAGATTGATATAGAGGCTATCATATATATATATATATATTACTATAAATGAAGCTGGTACACAGATACCATCTTCTAGAAATATGGCACCAAACGACTACTGTAAATCTTGAAATTAACGCGAGCGTGAATTAAATGCGAAAAATGCGAGTGGTCTTTGCTCGCATTTTTAAACATTGCATTTATATCAACAATAAGACATTTTGGATACCAAAAATACCAACTTAGACATACGCTGATGTATTCCACACCACTGTTTATTGAGCAGCACTTGTATATAAAGTATATAAACAATGTCATTCAAACACTAATCACATCCTGTGAATTGTCACTGCTAGGGTCAAGACAAGTGTTCTACTCACTTATGTCATCACTGATCACACCTGCAAGTCCAGACAGACACCACCCTTAGTTGTTTGTGACTGCGTCAAAGGCCGACACGAGCCAGTGCCCATGCATTGTTTTTGCGGAAGTACTTTACTCAGCGCTAAAAAGCGTTGCTATTTGTTGTGTGATTGGATTAATGTAAGGTTGGATTAAGGTGAGGATTCTAAACCCGACTGAGGACATCTTTAGATAGAAATCCAGTGATGCTTGAGAGGAGGGGGTGTCGCATTCATCTTGAGTTGCATTTTTGGCTAGGGTCCAGTGGTCGCATTCTTTTGGAGACGCATTAATTACAAGATTTACAGTATATCAGAACCATAAGACCAACCACTTAATCATCCCTGTGGACTTCGCGGTTTGGTTGTGTTGGCATCCAAAAGCATGAAAAAAATCGAGAAATCATAAAAAGAGAGCAAATCATTTCTTTGGCCGATTATTTACAGAAAGAAAACCTCCCCGCATGTTGGCGGACAAGATGGTCGGCACCTGTCTCACTACTGCTTGCAACATATTATGAACTGTATCGACATCAACACGCCATGGATGGTACGACTTTGTTTTACATGCTCTCAGATATGTACACATATATATTTACATTTGTAGTCAGTGCCGTTTGAAACAGACCAAAGATTGTAACCAAAACAATGAAGTTCTATGTCAATGGATGCTTATACATAAACTAGATGCAGTGCAGACAAGAAAACTAAGCAGAACTAGAAATAAATAGTTTTAAGAATAATAATCAAAACTTAGGGGTAATTGTGTTACCGTATTTGACCCAATAAGCGCCCATGTCCCAATAAGCCCCCCCCCCCCCCTTTTCCCGGATGAGATTTACTCACCTGTTTTTTACATACAGTCAAGAATCTTTTGTAGTTGGTTAATGAGGAGATGTTCACCAGTAAAACGTAAGTAACAGTTAATCTCTAGCCCCCCAGCAACAGAAGAATATCAATAGGCTTACTGATGAATTTACGCCAATTTGACTCTGAATTGGTCCCAATAAGCGCCCACCCCTTCTGTCTTTATTTTAAGCGCCCTGGGCGCTTATTGGGTCGAATACGGTATATCAATTCATCCTTAATACAAAATTCTATGGTTACATCCTTGCATTTCTTATAAATGGAGATCCTGCATCACATGAAAGCCTATCTGGAATATTGTTGTTGATTGATTGCACAATACAGGTATTTGATCCATTCACTCACAACATGAACTAAGAAAATTAAATAAACTTAAAAATGTAAAACAAAAAATGGAATGGTTTCCAAGTGACATTTCAAATGTAACACTTATTGCCATGCAAATTAACCTAACCATAATGTGACTATAATGCCTAAAATATTGTAGTGTTACAGACAGCAGCAATCTCGACATCTCCGAAGACAAGGCTACCAGCTAATCACAGTGGATCATCAGCTGGTTATGAGGAGCAAGGACCAGCTCTACACACTGGCCAATTTCAAAGTAACAGTAGTGAAAATTTACATTTACAATCACAATTAGAAATGATTGACATTTGTGTATCTTTTGATTGTGGACAAAATGACAATGAATCTAAACTCTTGCTTATATTTTCCATGAATATTTGGTCAGCATATATGCTGTACAAAAATAGCACTGTTGACAGTGATACAAATTGTTATCTCCCTTGAGGCAAGAGTGATCTCCCTTGAGTCAATGTTGTTACATATTCACAATAGACTGTGTCCTCCTCTGTGGTATCTTGTCAAAGGGGGACATCATGAACACTCTTCATAAATTTCTGTAAAATAAAAATATATTTTCTATTCATTTATTCAGAAATTTTGAAATTTCACAAAAAACATGTCACAAAAAACGATGTTAAACATAATCCCTGATTATCACTGAAAACCAACTGGTATCCTTTTTACACATATTCATAAGAAATACAAATATTTCTCAGCTAAAAACACAACTTTCATTCTGTGAAATAATACTCTTTAGTCGTCAGTCTGCCATCAAAACATAAACCATAACAAAATTAAAGATGTCAATAAAATAGATTTGGGAGTAATAAGTTTTCATTAAAATTTAACTTATATACAGATTTAAATCATCTTTGCACATCACACCCTTCATCTACTGCAGCCCAGCTTGTGAAACGTCTATACTTGGTACATTGGGGTACCAATTATTGATTAAATCCAACTACGAGGTCTGTGAATCTCCTGTTTATAATGGAGTATGCGCAATACCTCATGTTTCGGCTGCAAGGAACAAAATGATCTTGAATGCAAATCAGAACGAACAAATTAAAAACTACATCATGGTCTTTTTTCTAAAACTAAATCAGTTTTTTTTTACATTTCTCAAGGTAGAAAATGTATATGGACTATTGCCATGGTAACATACTATGTATTTATGCTTGCCGTAAAAGGTGACTATGCATGTCGTAAGTGGCAACTAACGGGATTGGGTAGTCAGTCTTGGTTGATGCATGTCATCGTATTCCAATTGCTTGGATCGGTGCTCATGATGTCAATCACTGGATTGTCTGGTTCAGAGTCGATTATTTACAACCGCCGTCATATAGCTGGAATATTGCTGAGTGCGGCATTCAACAACAAAGAAAAAGAAAGAAAAAATTACATCCCAAGGCAGCCGCGTGTGTTCACGGGTGATCAAAGAACTAAGTGTATACAAACCTTAAAGTACTGATGATGTGTAAAATATAACTTCTGTGCTATCAACCATACTTCATTTCACGAAATACGTTAAAAAATAATGGGAAACGTATTTCTGCCGTTGGTTTTGAGATGACGGGATTCAAGACTCACTTCACCATCAGTTCCCATGTTCATGCTTGCCATGGCCCTTCTAGCTAGGAGTAACTATGGTAACCACAAACCTTCCGATTCCGCTTGAAACTCATCCAAATCTTCATACATTTCTTCCTGCCTATAAGTGATAACAGACACCATCACCTTGTGATATATACAGGGATATACGACATACACGGACTGTCCCCATCGCACATAGGAGGGATCCCTTTTTACAGTTTTTTAAAGAATTCTGATAGCTCCAAGAAGATAATAATAATTCATATCATATAAACATTTTTATATCATGCTGCAGTGCATTTCCATAAACGTTATGAAAAAATCAAATATTTATCAATATATTATATTTTATAAAGCAGATATGTTTTCTCTTTCTAAATGTATTGTTTCAATTTAATTTTAAAAATTACATATTTATAAAACCAGAAACCTTGCACCGAAAGGCTGCAGGAATCCCTTCAGGTTGTGCTGTTTGGAGTCAGTTTGTAAACAATAACTTCAACCACCCATAACAAAGTTGGATGATAATACTGTTATAATACACCAGTTTCAGTTCAATTGTCACTTCACTTTTACTTTTAAATATATTCTTAAAGAAAATGAAAGTAAAGAAAATGCTTCCCTAATTTTAGGGAAGTATTGTTTTAATTTTGGTTTCACTTGAAACCGTAGCATGTTAATATTCCACGTTTAATAAAATACATGCATTTCTGACTTGTCTGCATTGTGAAGGTAGGAGAAACATGCACGCTGACATATTCCAACTTGTTTGAGAACACTGGTTCATATATCAGTGGGGGACTAATCACAATCAAGACCCTCTGTCCCCTTCACATGACAGAGTCTCGCACAAACAGTGGGCAATGGGTGTGACATGGGTGTTAGTTATACCGAAGCACAGCAGAGTATGTGTTAAGCAAACAAGGCAAGCATCTGTGGATGAGATGATGGGATGAATGAGCAGAAGATCATCACATGCATTGTGAAAATTGGCTAAAGTACAACTATAGAGCTTGCCATTTAAAATAGAGTCACGAAATACTGTGATTGCCAATTAACAAAAACAGCTGCATGTGTCAAATACAGTAATGAGAAAAATTGCAAAGTGCACTTTTCAAGAAATATCCATTTTGATCATAAACATCATCATTGAGTTTTGATCACGTGATCACAACACGGGTAAGGGTCGGCAGTCAGATGACTGCGAGCAAGTTACATTTAACAGTGCGTGATCTAACTCAGTTGCGCATAAGAACTACCTGTGCATGTTTTTTTACTTTCAGTTTGTGCTGGTAATTTGAATGTATGTTGCACATCCTGCTAAAAATAGCCTCTCAAAACCACTGACTGCCCACCCTTACCTGAATTGTAACCACGGAAACAAACCTCAGTGCTAGCAAAATGGTAATTTCTTGAAAAGCATACTTTGGAAATTTTGTCATTACTGTAAGTTTTATTCCTTATGGCCGGAATGGTTTGTTTCTCTGTATAAGTATTAGAACACATGCAGCTATCTTCATTAATTAATCATCACGATATTTCGTTATCCTACTTCAAGTGGCAAGGACTATAGACACAGCATCAAGCTGGGATTGAATTCATCACAAGTGAACTCTTTTATTCCAGAGAAAGGTTTGGAGACATTTTGCAAAAAATATTTTTTTGGCGAAAGATAATTTTATGCAAACAAAGACTTTTTTGTGCAATGACAAGCAAACAATGTGCCACACCCTCAGGCACTGCTCTTAACTTACTGTAAACAAACAGTGTTATTAATCAAAGTTTAAATTTTGTCTGCTTAGTCAATGGGTGTGACACATTCAGAAACAAAATATAATTGAAAATATTAATCCAATTATCTCAAAGAGTTTTTAAAAACCAAATAGAAAAGACAAAAATATGATGCAAGCATATTTCATGCATTTTTCAAAATGGCTGACTTTCACAATAAACAAGGTGAAATCCTTCTTTAACATAGCGAAAACAGGACTAAATGTGACGAGACTAACGGTTCCGGTCGCTCAACGACCTTCCCAGCATGCTTTGTGTCCATGCAACATTCTGCATAGACGACTCACCCAAATTCCCCCTCCATAGCAATGGGGGTATCTACTACTTTCATCGCCTGTGGAGGATGAAACGAACGATGAAATGGATTATGAAATGGAGTATGGCACAGGTGATGACATTGGTAAGATAGAGAACAGCTAAAGCAGGAGATATATACAATCTAATTTCTACACTGTTGTATTTTTAGTTACAGAATTATCGTTAAATCAAACAAATATTTTCAACATATCACATGTCAGGTTCTTATTGTGATACTGATATCTGATGACTGTTGAAATTGACTTCCAATTTTAATTTTTTTTTCAATTAATGTTTTAAAAAATGTTGAAAATAATTTCATGCAATAATTTTGTCTTGACTGCGAGCAATTCCAGCATAAACTAACTATTGGTTTGTAGTATTAAATATAAGCTAAGTTGGTTTTCTCCAAATGGAAAAAACCTCACATAGGGAGGAATGAGGAAAAATACATTAAAGTACCAACACTTAAAAAACGCTCATGTCAAGAATGTGGACATGCTAAAATAAAACAAGAAACTCTCACAGTCCTTTGATCAAACATAATAACACATACATAATTTGTTCATGCATCATTTGAAAGATGATATAGGCGATATGTACATGACAAGTAATCTTTAATAATCTACATACCATATTCGACGTAATAAACGCCCCGCTCTAATAAGCACCCATGGCGATATTTGCTAATATATTGGCTAGTGAACAATCCCAATTAGCACCCTTTCGATTGATCAATGTACACAAGACTTATTTATTCGTGTATAATGCGCACTCGTTTGTTATATGCACCCTTAATTATGGGCAATTAAATTCTGGAAAATATATCTCTCGTGTATGATACTCATACTTTTCTTTTGTATCACTTCAGACTGTCAGCATAAACTACGAAATTTACAATCTATCAACTCTGTTTTTTCTCTCACCAAAATTATATTCTAATAAGAGCCCCCTATTCCTATTTTTGAGAGAGCCCCAGGCACTTATTACGTCGAATATGGTAATATGATATTTATCACGTTATTTATTTCCTCAGAAGACACTGCAAGGAAGGCTCTCCAGAGACCCCTCCTCTGATGATGATCAACCACAATCTTATTTTATCAATTCTAGTCTTACAATTCTGATGAAAAAACAATTAACAAGATTTAACTGTATCAAATGGAAATATGTTGTCATCTAAATGTTTATGGTGGAACCAAACCACTGTGAATACTGTCACAAGAAAGGTATAAACATATACTCGTAAAATACATAAATAGTGTAAAAGAGTTTAGATTCTGAAGAAATACAAATACTTACAAATACAAATACATAAATTTCATATATGAAATCAATTATACCAAATTTGGCATATAAAAAGATATAATACCCTGAGAATAATTTAATGAACATGAAGGGTTGGGGTTGGGGTTGGGGTTGGGGTTGGGGTTGGGGTTGGGGTTGGTATGGGTTGGGGTTGGTATTGGGGTTCGGGCTGGGGTACCATTTTAACCAAAATATCAGAAAATCACTTTGGTCCTCATTAATAGCATTGTCCAGTGGATAAAGATTTGCCTCATCACAGAGAAATCCAGGTCAAATACCCACACAGGTACAGTGCTTGAACCCAAATGTGGTGTCGCCTCCCTTGATATGGCTAAAATATTGCTAAAAGCGGTGTAAAGACAATACTTACTCAGGCCGACACAATTTGACACAGTCTTAAGCACACATGATTCCTTATAGGACATAGAAGCAATTTGGTTTTTTGAAAATTCTTACACCACTTCTTAACTCTAATACAGTCTGTCCACCGAAACCAATCTGTCAAGTCACTGACCCAGAACCAGTTGTTCCTTTTCAGCCTTTCAGGAGTGCAAGTTTGAGAATAAAACACATTAAATCAAAAACATAATGATAAAATGCTGGACTATTTCTAAAGGAAACCAGTGCACCAGTTAATCAGACATGCAATGGGAGTGGGTGGGTATGTCGGAGAACTGTCACTAGGCCTTATACAGTTTTTACAAGTTGGTTTACAAGACCGACAGATAATAATAACTAAAATTAGAAAGAAAAAAACAAACTACTTTTGTCACCTTGTTTTTCTTTGAATCTGTTTTACAATTAGGAAAAATAAAAACCACAGGATTTTATCACTGCTGTTCGTAAGAAATGGTGAATAATACGTATAAAAATCTTTATTCTAACAAAAATAACAATCATTGTCATTCAATGATGAAAAGTGCTTTTACATTTTGTCTTTTTAGGAGGGTCATCCAAAAATATGACAAGCATTAGGGGTGCATCAAAAAACTCGGACCCACCCCTCCCTTGTAAAAAATGACTGGTCCCTTATAGTAGTATTAATATGGAAGTTGAAAATAATTATATTTTATTTTCAACCACCTACATGGAATTTTAGGCCAATTTCTTTGTAAACCAACCAAAAAAAAATAAAAGGCCCTAAACATGCCAGATTTTCATTTTTTTAAATATTCCATAAACCAATCAACAAAAGTAACAATCTACCGAACAAATACAAAACCTCAAATTAGGAGCATGTTAATTGAAAAAGAACGATTTTGACCACTCCATACAAAAACAGGGGAGATAATTACAGTTTCTCGGTACTGGTAGTAGTCTTGAGGTCGAATCCGAATTATGTACTCAATCATTGCCTGGTGGGCATGAACAAAAGTAGTCATAATTAAAGTCTGTGAATATCTAGTAATTTGAAAGATACAGAAACTAGATAACTCTGCTCTTTGACCTGGGCATCAAGAAGTGTGATGCAAACGTGAGACCACAGGATGATTTATGGAGAAGGAGATGTCATTATGTTTTAATGTTTTAAGATGTTTCTTTTACCATCAATAAGTTTGGTCTCATACTCAGCTTGCAAACTTTTTCTTTTTCTGATAACTTATTTTTACAAATTCTTAAACTAGGAACAAACAAGGAATCGATACTTGACGAGTGGAATTATTATTTCATATCACAGATGTTTCTACTTTTATGAGTAGAATATTAACAAATATAGGACTAATAGTCAACCTTGTCAACACCTTATTGAAGAAACCAACTGTGTTTTGTTTAATCATTTCAGAAAGTAAAAATTCTATTTGATCATGTTTCACAAAGCTGTCCAATGCCATAATTTATATATCATATATTTGTCAAGCCTTAAGATAAATCAGTTTTAAAATTGTTTTATGGATTATCCACATGCCAAAATACTGGATGCAAACATTTACTGTCTTCTACGTATGGTTTATTTAGGTTCATGTTTTGCAAAAAAACAAATGTCCAAATAAGCATTCATGTATTTTCCATCAAACACAGAATCTTGTATTCTTCAAAAATTAGTTTTGTGACATTTAAAGCACAAACTAGAAAAGTAGTTAGGTATTGCCTTATTAAAACATACACTATGCGAAACCTGAAACATTGTTTGAACTACAGGTAACCTTTATATGCGTTAACCTACAATGTACAACATATGTACAATGTACAACATATGGTATTCCAGCCTCAATTATCCAGAGAGTTATATCGCCATATTATGTAAATACTTCCAACCGGGTGACCGATCCATTTGCCACCAAAGCTTGTTTCCGAAGTGATGTCAACACCTTCATCACTCCTACTTCCAACTTCAAGACGAACTTGATTCTGTTGGATATACTTAATCTACTAAGGGAATTAACTGACTTTAAAGATCCAGTTTCCACCCTTGCCAAACTAGGCGGGAATTATGGAGTTATATTTAGGCTTGACTAACAAGTCTATGCATAACCCAATCAAAATCGTGGAACAAAATCGACATTGGGTTCATAAACAACATGGCGACTGCCATGCAGATTTTAGTCGATCGCAGGATTTGCAGAGCATGTTAACTGTCAACTGGGCATCGACAGATGTTTTCATGTCTTAAATCAAGGTGCTCAAGTGATTTGATGTCCTTCACGAAGTAAGACCTGTTTTACTTGATTATTGATTAGATCGTCTGGACTGGGAGCTGCCATTCTGTTTGAAGAATCTGATTGGTCAAAAGGAGGGACATAGAAGGGACATAACTCATAGTTGCCACTAGGGCCACGAGCCACGAAATGCCAGCCTATTTCAGCAAGGTTGGGAACTGGGCTATTATAGTCAGTTAACTCTCTTGCCTCGGGAAGATGCTATACTTAGTGTTCAACTGTGTTCAAAACAAGGCTTTGCTGGCAGATGGTATGGAGATAAAACCCCCTGAATAATCGAGGATGGTCTTTGGTATAGCAGAATAGGAGGAAGCAGTAGATGAATCTGATGGTATATGCAGTATATGGCAAGGGTTGTGTATTGCAGGGGAGTGCAATGTCAACCGCAGCAGATGTAGCTTTCACACCAGCTCAAGAATACTACCTTCATATAGTTTTGTCACAATCTCTCTGTCAGATGGGCCTGTGTACAGACATTCTCTCGTATCAGCATGGCATCAACACATAGCTTATTCTACTGCCTTCTCTTTATCTTTACTTTGTTGTTTAACTCCGTGTAGCGTCCATACAATTTCCGATTTTCCATTGTTATTGCAAATGTAGGGATTGTGTATGCAAATTCGCATTATAGAGAGGTACATAAATTAGCCTCCATTTTGAAGGCTGGTACAGGGGGTCGCCTTATACATGTATGTGGCATCGCTTTATAGACGGCGATATACAGTATTATTATTCTCAGATAAGTTTTCTTCAACATCCTTGGTAAGTTTAAACATTTAATTGACTTTTTCTTCGTAGGTCCATTTTTTAGTTAAATTGTTAACACCAAAACACTCGTGATTTAGAACATCAACAACATATTCTCTCACGATGTTCAACCATGAAATACATGTACACTTTTCATGTTTTTTTTAATGACGATTACCTTGCAGTGTGGAGCATGTGTAATCAATTACACAGTGAATGTGGAAAAAAGTAAGCAATATTTAAACAAAGCATAAACATTGCATACCAAATTGTGTAGAAAAACATTAAAACATTTCACAACATTGCATACAACTGACTCAGAAATAAACACTGATGTGGTGCAAATTTATAAAAAGCTGTGAAAAAGTGAAAAATGAACATAATACCTTCAATTTACTGGCTAGTTCCTGCGATTGCTGAATACAGCAAGACGTATTAATAGCATACACAAGGCCAAGTACATAGTGACATTCTAACTGTCTGATTGGCATTCTAGAAGTTGGGGAGTAAACTAGAAAACGTACAACTTCATGGATAAAAACTTCTGGTTTAGGCTAAAAAAAATAATAGTTTTGGTTCTCAGGCACGCCATCATCATAAAGTCTGCCGTTTTGTTTTATAATTTCCATTTTTTAAAAATAAATAAATCCTAATACTTAAACTTAATGCGATCCAATATAGCACGCAGTTACTTCCCTTCCCTTTGTGTTATGGTCATGGCGGCAATAGGAGTTTGTATACTTGTTTATAAAGGGAGGCCTTTTCCCAGGTTGATGGTACTGAAACCGTTTACTGTAAATCGTGAAATTAATGTGTCTCCAAAAGAATGTGACCGCTGGTCCCTTGCCAAAAATGCGTCTCAATATGAATGCGACACCCCCTCCTCTCAAGCATCAAAGGATTCATATCTAAAGAAAATGTCCTCTGTCAGGTTTACAGGAGAATCCTCACCTTAATCCAACATTACGATAATTCAATCACACACCAAATAGCACTGCTTATTAGCGCTGAGTAGAGTAGACATAAGTGAGTAGAACTCTTGTCTTGACCCCAGCAGTGACAATTCACAGAATGTAATTAGTGTTTGAATGACATTGTACATGTACTTGTTACAAGTGCTGCTCAATGAACAATGATGTGGAATACGTAGCTGTTTGTTTTCAGCGTATGTCTAAGTTGGTATTTCTGCTATCCAAAATGTCTTATTGTTGATATAAATGCGATGTTTAATAATGCGAGCAAAGACCACTTGCATTTAATTCACGCTCGCGTTAATTTCAAGATTGACAGTATTTGGTTACATACTAGTTTGAACAAGCAAAAAAAAAAACCAGCGCCCACCCAAACCATATTTTCAAAAGTGTCTTGAGAACCAATTCTTTTATCTTTTGAAGCCTTATTGCATTATCAACATTTCAATACATCATCACAGCCTGCTGAAAATGGTGAAATGTTCCTAATGCACTTAAACAGGAGTTGTCATTGGTAAAGTTGTAAGTTGCCCTAATGTATTCTAGCTGGTTGAAATTAATATAGCCTCTACTTCTATATCACTTGTTAGTTGCACTCAATGGTTTTTAACTGTTATGTGTTCTCCTACAAGATTCTCCCGTAAAGATATGTGTTCATGTCATTCAATAGGAACACAATTCCCTACAGGGATAACCACAGCTAAAGTGGAATTATTCAAGTAGCATGTTAATTCAAAGCTGGAGAACAGAATTACCACGGTGTATATACTAGGGCTGTTACGATTCTCTTGCGTATTCAGTAAATCGAACCGTATCCATTCGTGAATTGAATTAATTTTTCGGGGTCACTAGAATCAAATATTTATGAATATGCAGTCATGTGCATCTACATACCCTGACCCTTAAAATAGCCATAAGAACATATAATATGCATAGATTTCTTCAAAGACAACAATCTTTTATATTTAATTTTACAGTATTGTAATCACTGGTTATTGTTGCATTTGAGCAGATACTAGTACCTGGATAATTGCAGTATATAACTGTATAACACATATTGATAATTAACAAACCATGTCAAAAATATTATTTTGATATAGTTTCACTAAATATCATAAATAATACGTCAACTGCTGACTTGTTATTGTATTCGTGAATAAATATTTGTATTCGTTGCCCTATATTCATGATACGAATCGTATTCGCCTCATAGTGTAATTGTTGCAGCCCTAGTATATACAGTAAAAGACGTTTATAACGAACACACTTACAACGAAGTGACGGATATAACAAACTGGGGTTTTTTTATTCTCGGCCAATTGCTTTATATATGCTGTATATACTTTCATAACGAATTACTGTTATAACAAACTTAAATTAGTGGTCCCTTTGTGTTCGTTATAACCATAGTTTACTGTAGTTGGACTCCTAACATATATCTGGCAGAAGTAAGCTGTATTATGTTAGGTCATGTCACAATTAAATTCACATTTTAATACTTTTTGATACATTCAATATATTGGTTGATGCCAGGGGAAAAAATAATTGTTTTATTTACCAAATCAAATTGTCCACATTGTTTTTTAGAATTGTAAAATTTTGGCCATATGTTTTGGATATATAACATACCTTTTTAATCGCGGTTTCTTCAATGTCGATGTTCTTTGATTCTACATAGCCATCTGGAAAATAGCATTGTCAATATTATTTAACAATAAATTGTTTGTTTGTTTGTTTGTTGTTTAAAGCCGCACTCAGCAGTATTCCAGCTATATGACCGCGGTCTGTAAATAATCGAGTCTGGACCAGACAATCCAGTGATTGACATCATGAGCAATCGATCCAATCCCGTTAGTTGCCTTTTACAACAAGCATAGTCGCCTTTTACGGCAAGTATGGGTTGCTGGAGACCTATTCTACCCCGGAATGTTCACAGGTCTAACAATAAATTGACAGAAGTAGAGAGTACAGTGGAACCTGCAGTGTCAACACCAACCTACACAAAGTCAAATTCATTAATGTTGGAGACTTCATGAGAAGTGAAGGACTTTGCTTTAATGCCTCTTTGGTCAATACTGCAGTTACCGTATTCGACATAATAAGCCCCCCGCTCTAATAAGCGCCCATGGAGATATTTGATAATATATTGGCTGGTGAACAATCCCAATTAATCTTCCGATTGATCAATGTACACAAGACTTATTTATTCGTGTATAATACGTGTGTTATATGCATCCTTAATCATAGGAAATTAAATTCTGGAAAAATATATCTGTCGTATATAAACATTTCAGGGTGTCAGCATAAACCATGAAATTTACGTTCTTTCAACTCTGTTGTTTTTCACCAAAACAATATTCTAATAAGAGCCCCCTATTTCAAATTTTGAGAGCGCCCTGGGTGCTTATTATGTCGAATACGGTAAATCACGGCGCTTCAGCTTGATGTGGGAAAGTCTGAACTGATGCAAGTCTTAGACGTTACCGAGAAGCACCGGCATGGCGCTGACAAACCCAGAAACAAAGAAAGCTGAACCTAGGATCTGAACCCACCCACCAGTCACAGCTCCCCACTGTGCTAGGCGGCCTACAACCCTGCATGGAGTTGAACTCACAACTGACAGACTGCCATGTTTACAAACAAATGATGACTGTCGTGACGCCGAATACTCTTCCCCAAGCTAAAATATTCTGCTTGTTAATTTGAATTTCTATTTCATTTCAACTAACATGTAATTAGTATATTCACAATGATGCTTCTCCGTTGGTCTCTAATCTCAAACAAATCTGATTAAATAAATAAAACATTATTCATCTGGGAAAGATAACATCCCAATTATCTATAAATGACATTCCCAAAGACATACACACAAATATATATTTCACTTGAGGAGCTTGAAAAACTTTCATTGATAAGGGAGATAACTCTTACATGTTCCTTCTCTGTTCATAACCAGCCACTTCCCGGCTGGGTTTTCGGTCATCCGGATGATATCCAGAATCTCACCGGTCTCCACTGCCAGCTCGGTCTTCCCGCCCTTAGCCTTTGATCTCACTACTCCCTCAGCGGATTTCTTTTCATCTCCAGTCAGCTGAATTAAAGAAAAGAAAGTTAATTTCACATTTCAGACATACTCTTTTACCACATTGAGGTGTTTTGTTTTTGTTGTTGCTTGTTTCTTGTGGAACCCCACACGCAGCTATATTCCTGCTATTTGATGGCAGTCTTTAAATATTTGTGTCTGGACCTAACAAATGAATCTAACAAATCAGGAAATGATGACAGGCATCAGCCAAGTACGCGATCTCGTTAGTCGCCTCTCACATCAAAATATGGGTTGCTGAAGACTAATTTTACTCGAATTATCAGGGGTGCATGATGGTGTAGGAATATTGGCAAGAGTTTTACACAGTTTCAAACAATACTGAAGATATATCGAATTCGGCACCAAGAATCGTTTGCGGCACAGCTCAAGTCAATCACATCACTCCCACACTGAGAGAACTCCATTGGCTGCCTGTTGAAGCTCGCATTGAATACAAGATCATTCTCAATGCATACAAATGTTTCAACAACTTTACCCCCATATATCTCACTGAACTCTTACCACTCGACTCTCCACGGAGAACTCCCCTATCTCAACAACAGAAACTATTTTCTATTCGTAAATCAGAACATCCACTTTTGGCGAATAAACCTTCTATTTCGCAGAGATTCTATGGAACTCTCTTTCAGATAATGTGACATTATCTCCTTCAATCCCTGCTCTTAAAGCCCACCTCAAAACCCACAGTTTTAACAAACACTATCAATGCTAAGCGCACTGAACACAAAGTTTTGTGCTCTTTATGCGCTATATAAATACAAGCATTGTTGTTGTTGTTATCATTATTATTATTATTATTATTAGCAGCATTCAAACCAACCCTCAGCAGATCCTGGCATCAATAAAGAACATAACTGCACAACAAATCAGAGGACCTTTGCTCACTGGGCCACCCATGCCATCTTGGTACTAAAGCATTAGTTGGCAGTGAAAAGTGCTTCATCAATCATGTGACTAATCTGTTACATGTACTAAAGACAATAACTGTCTGCATATGCTGACTTGATCATAAACTCAAAATCCACAATATTACAAAACATTGCAAGTCCATGTTTGACTTTTCAGGTGAGGTGAGGTGAAATGGGGTTTAATGTCGCGTCCAAAATTATTACACTTATATAGCGACGTGCATGCATGTGTGTGTGATGTGTATATGTGTGTGTGTGGTTGCTTGTACTAGTCCGGACATGGCAATTTTATAGTGCTAGCCCACTGAGATACCATGCCGCAGTATAAAATGAATACCCCACTCAGACACAGTATACTCCAAGTCCTAGTTTTAGCTCCTTAATGCTGAGCGCCAGGCATGGTAACAAGTACCATCCCTTAACATCTTTTGGTATGATGTGGCCGGGGATTGAACCCCAGACCTTCCACTCTCCAGCCCATGGAGGTGGTCTTGACTTGGAAGAAAATGTTCCTGTATACCTTGAACTTCTTCCTCAATTCCTTCTCCTTCTTCTCCTTTTCCTTTCGCTCTTTCTCAAGTTTTGCCTGGAAACAAAACAGAACATAAGCTTACACCAAAACAGCACACACAAAAGCGCCAATATTTGTAAACAGACAGATGTCTTTCAGTGGTGAATTCCATTGTCATCGGTTTATGTCATGTGATACTTTGGGTCTGAAAGCCTTTCGGTAATGCTCAATGATGCCCTTTAGTTATGAAATTATCAATTCCATTGTGATCTATTTATGTCCTGTGATACTTTGGGTCTGAAAGCCTTTCGGTAATGCTCAATGATGCCCTTTAGTTATGAAATTATCAATTCCATTGTGATCTATTTATGTCATGTGATACTTTGGATCTGAAAGCCTTTCGGTAATGCTCAATGATGCCCTTTAGTTAATTTACCAAATTTTATTCCCAACCACAAGGCTGATGTGATTAACCATTCTTTCATTACCACTTCTCTTCTTTGTCAAAGGAGCAGTTGGGTAGCCTAGTGGTTAAAGTGTTCACTCATCACACTGAAGACCCAGGTTCGATTCCGCACATTGGTACAATGCCTGAAGCCCATTTCTGGTGTCCCCCATAGCATGTCCAAATACATTGTATTGCTAAAAGTGGCGTAAAACCACACTCACTCACTCTTTGTCAAAACTTTGTCGGGAGTTATAATGTTCTTTTAAAAAAACAGGAATTTTTTATCTTCAATATTTAACACTGAATTCCTACACTGTGATACCTGTCACTCCAATCTATGAATTCTACCAAAAAGTTGCTGCAGACTTGGGGCCAAGTATCAGCCTCTGAGAATGTCTATCATTCCTTCTCTTTCACCTTGAAGTCGATCAATATATTAGGCAAAATATCTACAAATTAGAGTTTTGCACCCAACTGAAATAAATCTACTTCACGACAATTTACCACATTGCTTCAAGAAAAAACACTTACTTGTTCTGCCTTCTCTTTCTTTTCCCTCTCTTTTCTTTCTTTGTCTTCTTTCTTTTTCTTTTCTGCAGCTTCCTTAGCTTTCCTCTCTAGTTCCTTCTTGTCTTCTTGAGCGCTGATCTCCAACCTGAAGATAAGGTCAGAATGGAGAGAAGGTGAATCAATCTTACACACAATGTCATGTGGTGAGGCAGCCATCAATTCGGCTGTTTCAATCAGAGGGGGTTTATTGTGATTTGATACCTCTGATTGACCAATCAAAATCGAGTATTTTCCAAATTCATAGTAGAATAAGCAATGACTTATGTTTTTCAGTGAATTGTTAAAAAGACAATCAAAATATAAGATTGCTATGGTGAACTTTGCAGTGAGCTGTAACAGCGAAATGTGTATGATAAATATATAAGCTGAAACAATAGGTGAAACAGAAAAACATCTGTAACAAGCATGAAATACTCATATCCCCCACCAATATGACATGTCCAAGGCAAGAAATATTGTACGGTTGTCAAGATCTGCTCCGGAAACGAGCACTTCTGTCATTTTCAGTCTAAATCAAAGTCGTTGCTATGGAAACCCGAGAAATAAATTTTCAAAAATCCCAAACTATCAAAAGGCACCAGTTTACAAGTAGACCTGTCTATGTGCCAAGTTTGGTGAGAAATATTGTACGTTTTTTAAGATAGTTCGGGAAAGGAGCACTACTGCCATTTTCAGTCTAAGTTAAAGTCGTTGCCATGAAAAATCAAAAGGCACCAATTTACCAGTAGACCTATCTATGTGCTAAGTTTGGTCAAGATTTCTCTCATGGTCTTGGAGTTCTGCTGATGGAAGGACAGCACCTATTCCTATATGCCGATGATAAATTCACAAAATTATTGCCAAAGAATATTTCATATCATTAACCCTTTCTCCCCTGCTACCCCTTATGGATCTGAGTAGGCCCCTGTAACATCGGCAGTGGTACGGAGACAGGGGTGAAGCAGAGCATGTCGATATGCAGAGATGTAACCATTGCTTCCTGGGTGTGTAACGTCAGCAAATATAGGTTGGAAAACATGTAGCTTATGGTAATCATTACAATACAATCTCATTAAAATCAGATCTTAGTTCTCGCGACGGCTAAACAAAGATCTGAGGACATCCCATTAGAGGTCACGTCAGAACGATCTTTCATCCAACCAATCAGAGCGTTGCTTACTAGATCATGAAAGTGACAGTCGGAATGTGATTTCTAATCATGCAGCCTCGAAAACTTTAAAATGGAGTATTCCAAACGATAGTTACGGGCTTAACGACTGAATCTATACAACTAGACCATATATTAGCCATTCGGGAATATTCTTTTGTTCAGTTTTCACATTTTTAAGCGAGAATTTATCAAAATATGTTTCGAAGCGTAGTCGCCAATTTGAAATTATTGCCGTAAAGTACGAGAAAGCTGCCTAATGCTATGTCGACTTCTTGTCAGTCATTCCATTGGTCGGTCAGAGTTCGCGAAAGGTCGGTGTGACGTGACTCGTAATGGGATGTCCTCAGATCTTTGCTCAGTGGCAGCGAGAACTAAGATCTAATTTTAATGAGATTGCAAAACAATATTAAACCTCTTGAATTTAGGAGCATTATTGGTTATATCTGTAAAATAATGGTCATGGCCGAATCATTAAAGGCTTGACAACGGTATAAGGATCTCTACTGAAACGTAGCCATTAGAGTTAAAAAAAGATGTTGTTATCTACTTTGTCATTAATGGCATTATGTTCTAATATCGACACTCAACTACAGACAGATGTTTTTATCGGCCCCATGACCCAGAGTTAACAAGATTTTACTGTTAATGATACTGTTATTTCATCAAACATTTCTAAATCTCAAGGTCAAGCTGCATAGGTGCATTTGGCTTTCTGATGCGAGTTGGTGATGTGCATTCTTGACTTTCTGTGAAATGTGAAATCACCTCTGACATGTTTAGATGAAATGTGAACATAATATACAGATCCTCATTAATCTTGTACTTTCCAAGGTTTATTTTATCAGATTCTAAGCATGAGAGGTAGGAAGTCTGTGCAAATCCTCCAATAACACAACAAAACAAACTGATTACTTCTTTTTGGGAATCACCACCTCAGGTTTTTGAATTCTACAAAAAAAAGGGATAAATAAGTTATTTTAATGGTGACTTATACCATCAGCTCACATGGGTGTCCAGTCTGGGTGAGATTATATAAAGTCTCGTTCTAAATACCCAACACACTACAGCATTGGTGCAGTGGGGTAGCCAAGTGGTTAAAGCGTTCGCTCGTCACGCCAAAGACCCAGGGTCGATTCACCACATGGGTACAATGTGTGAAGCCAATTTCTGGTGTCCCCTGCTGTGATATTGCTGGAATATTGTTTAAAGTGGTGTAAAACCATACTCACTCACTCACTCACTCACTCACTACAGCACTTGGTAAATATTCAAGTGTTGCTGAGATTATAAAACTTTTGTTAACATTTTCTTTAGAAACATCTCTTATTAATTCTGCCCAAATGGGGCACCTGATCACCATGGCAATAGTACAACAGATCTCAAATTTGTATATATACAGTAAAACATGGATATAACAAACTACAAGGGACCGGAGAAATCAGTTCGTTATATCCGCTGTTCGTTATAGACGTTTTTGCCCGGAAATGTCCGCAATCTTGGATTAAACAAAACACAATACACGTAACTGCAGCATTGACTTGTATTAGCAGTGATCACTTCATAGCATTCAATTGATAACATTTAATAACATTCATTTAAGTATAACAAGGTTGATCCGTCACCGCTGATTGTGTTGATTTTAAACAGTTCGTTGTATCCGTTTGTTCGCTCTATCGTCCGTTATATCCGTGTTCTACTGTACATATATATATATATACTTAATTTGTCTATGCTTTATCAATACTTGAATTATGGTCATGGCAAAATGATTATCAACACTATGTTTAAATATCGACACTCAACTACAGACAGACATTGTTTTCAGTGCCCCATGACCTTGAGTTAACAAGATTTTACTGTTAATGATACTGTTACTTTATCAAACATTTCTAAATCTCAAGGTCAAGCTGCATAGGTGCATAAGGCTTTCTGATGCGAGTTGGTGATGTGCATTCTTGACTTTCTGTGAAATGTGAAATCACCTCTGACATGTTTAGATGAAATGTGAACATAATATACAGATCCTCATTAATCTTGTACTTTCCAAGGTTTATTTTATCAGATTCTAAGCATGAGAGGTAGGAAGTCTGTGCAAATCCTCCAATAACACAACAAAACAAACTGATTACTTCTTTTTGGGAATCACCACCTCAGGTTTTTGAATTCTACAAAAAAAAAGGGATAAATAAGTTATTTTAATGGTGACTTATACCATCAGCTCACATGGGTGTCCAGTCTGGGTGAGATTATATAAAGTCTCGTTCTAAATACCCAACACACTACAGCATTGGTGCAGTGGGGTAGCCAAGTGGTTAAAGCATTCGTTCGTCACGCCAAAGACCCAGGGTCGATTCCCCACATGGGTACAATGTGTGAAGCCAATTTCTGGTGTCCCCTGCTGTGATATTGCTGGAATATTGTTTAAAGTGGTGTAAAACCATACTCACTCACTCACTCACTACAGCACTTGGTAAATATTCAAGTGTCGCTGAGATTATAAAACTTTTGTTAACATTTTCTTTAGAAACATCTCTTATTAATTCTGCCCAAATGGGGCAGCTGATCACCATGGCAATAGTACAACAGATCTCAGATTTGTATATATACAGTAGAACATGGATATAACAAACTACAAGGGACCGGAGAAATCAGTTCGTTATATCCGCTGTTCGTTATAGACGTTTTCGCCCGGAAATGTCCGCCATCTTGGATTAAACGAAACACAATTCACGTAACTGCAGCATTGACTTGTATTAGCAGTGATCACTTCATAGCATTCAATTGATAACATTTAATAACATTCATTTAAGTATAACAAGGTTGATCCGTCACCACTGATTGTGTTGATTTTAAACAGTTCGTTGTATCCGTTTGTTCGCTCTATCGTCCGTTATATCCGTGTTCTACTGTACAAATATATATATAAACTTAATTTGTCTATTCTTTATCAATATTCGAATTATGGTCATGGCAAAATGATTATCAACACTATGTTCAAATATCGACACTCAACTACAGACAGACATTGTTTTCAGTGCCCCATGACCTTGAGTTAACAAGATTTTACTGTTAATGATACTGTTACTTTATCAAACATTTCTAAATGTCAAGGTCAAGCTGCATAGGTGCATTCGGCTTTCTGATGCGAGTTGGTGATGTGCATTCTTGACTTTCTGTGAAATGTGAAATCACCTCTGACATGTTTAGATGAAATGTGAACATAATATACAGATCCTCATTAATCTTGTACTTTCCAAGGTTTATTTTATCAGATTCTAAGCATGAGAGGTAGGAAGTCTGTGCAAATCCTCCAATAACACAACAAAACAAACTGATTACTTCTTTGTTGGAATCACCACCTCAGGTTTTTGAATTCTACAAAAAAAAGGGATAAATAAGTTATTTTGATGGTGACTTATACCATCAGCTCACATGGGTCTTCAGTCTGGGTGAGATTATATAAAGTCTCGTTCTAAATACAGAGACCCAACACACTACAGCATAGGTGCGGTCGGGTAGCTGAGTGGTTAAAGCGTTCGCTCGTCACTCCGAAGACCCAGGGTCGATTCCCCACATGGGTACAATGTGTGAAGCCAATTTCTGGTGTCGCCTGCTGTGATATTGCTGGAATATTGCTTTAAGTGGCATAAAACCATACTCACTCACTCACTCATTCTCTCTCTCTCGCTCACTCGCTCGCTCGCTATGCTTTAGCAATACTTGAATAAATGACTCACTCTTCATCTTCTGGGAGTGGCTCGTACAGCTCATCTTGCTCTGCCTATAGAAACAAAGAAAGTCCATTGTTATATTGTACGAGGAGCAGGATAGAAACATGCTGCATCTTCATGTGTTAGTGAGTGAGTGATCGAGTGGAGCGATTGATCACGTGATTGATCACATGAGTGATGAAGTGAGGGAGTGATCGAGTTTAGTGAATGATCACGTGATTGATCACATGAGTGATGAAGTGATGAAGTGAGGGAGTGATCGAGTTTAGTGAATGATCACGTGATTGATCACATGAGTGAATGAGTGATGAAGTGAGGGAGTGATCGAGTTTAGTGAATGATCACGTGATTGATCACATGAGTGAATGAGTGATGAAGTGAGGGAGTGATCGAGTTAAGTGAGTGAGTGAGTGAGTGAGCTGAGTGAATGATCACATGATTGATCACGTGAGTGATGAAGTGAGTGAGTGATCGAGTTTAGTGAGTGTGTGTGAGTGAGTGAGTGATCGAGTTTAGTGAGTGTGTGTGAGTGAGTGCTTGAGTTGAGTGAGTGAGTGAGTGATCAAGTGAGTGATCAAGTTTAGTGAGTGTGTGTGTGAGTGAGTGCTCGAGTGAGTGAGTGCTCGAGTGAGTGAGTGATCAAGTTTAGTGAGTCAGTGATCACGTGAGTGAGTGATCGTGTTGAGTGATTGATCACGTGAGTGAGTGAGTTAAGTTAGTGAGTGAGTGATTGATCATGTGAGTGATCGAGTTGAGTGATTGATCACGTGAGTGAGTGCTCGAGTGAGTGACTGAGTCATTTCATGGACTGGCAGCAGAGAAAAGCTTGCAGTGATGAAGGCCCTAGACATTTACCACAAACAGAAACACAACCAGGGTGAATCTGGCATTCCAACCCACAATCACAGGTCTCTGTACAGCAAATTGCAGTGCCGAATATGAAGGGGCACTATTGCCCCTCAGACTCTGGGATGGCGGACTACATCATGTATACATCCTACTTCTGGAGAATGACATGAATAAGTCTCCCAGAGGTAATTTACTGAGACTCAACAAATAAAAGAATTCAAACATCCAGATATCAGTTATGTTAACAAAAGCATCATTACATTGTAGAAACTGTATTTTAAAGCAATTTCTAGTCTCACATATTGACGTTTTCCTTCTCAATAATTAGTTCTTGGAAAGTATTTAACAGGATAATGATATCAAATAGTAATAATAAAACTTACGTCATCGTATATCTCCTCTGTGACTGGTGCTGAAATACAGACAGGTCTCCCGTTTAGTTCTCAGAGCTACAACAATCATTATGTTATCACAAAAGTTTCTACCCGTGAAGATCCGGGGTAGAATAGGTCTTCAGCAACCCATGCTTGCCGTAAAAGGCGACTATGCATGTCGTAAAAGGCGACTTACGGGATCGGGTGGTCAGGCTCGCTGACTTGGTTGATGCATGTCATCAATCCCAATTGCGTGGATCGATGCTCATGATATTAATCATCTGGTCCAGCTTCGATTATTTACCGACTGCCATCATATAGCTGGAGTATTGCTGAGTGCGGCTTTAAACAACCAACCAACCAACCAACCAAAGTTTCTTACGGCTGTCTCACTCATACCCTTCCAGGCTGAGTGCAGCTGTTGAACAATATTACAAACTAGAGGTGTTAGCAAGTTCTTGCAATGACAGAAGCAGGTCCCGTCCCTGCCAAGTCTTCAGATTGAGTCTTAATGTGCAACCATGTACTTCCAGTCCCAACACATTACTTCCTAACCTTGGACCGACATCAAGACAACTTCTTAAGATCAAACAACTTCCCAAGTCCCAGGACTGTACAAGTAAAAGTGCAGCAGTAACCGGCAAGAAATGATTCAACCATGATTCGCAATAACCTCAAACATGACCTTGACCTTTGTGCCAAAAGAATTCCCCAAGGCCATTTAGAAGAAGTTGGCGGCAATGGCGGTTCAAGTTTAACAAACACTCAAAGACGTCCCGTTTCACAGCTACGGCTGATAAATATACTTGTGTAGTTGGCTGCAGGTGAATTCTGTCCAATATATCGAGTCCATCTTGCTGCTTCAAGACTGTTAAGGATCAAACCGCTCAAACAACTGAGGGCACATACACTATGTAACCAAAACGGGCATGCTTGTTTATAGTAATATACGGCTGTATCACATCGGTATGTAAATATACATGTCTTTCAACAAGCAAGCTTGTGATATTAGAACACATTTTTAGCAAGAAAATATTGAAGTTATCTAACGTGAGGTTCCTCTAACCTGCCATAGATCCCCCCGAGATTGAGGCTGACCCTCCAGATGCTGAGGCTGACCCAGCTGATCCAAACTCTCTCATCTCCTCCTCCTCCGTCATCGCGGCACTGAAACAACCAACAAACATGAAGCATATAAACATGTAACTAGCAAACAAAGAGCACACCGTCACACACATGAAACGCAGACTCAGCAGCCACTACTCACATCAGACACAGCAGCCACTACTCACATCAGACTCAGCAGCCACTACTCACATCAGACACAGCAGCCACTACTCACATCAGACACAGCAGCCACTACTCACATCAGACTCAGCAGCCACTACTCACATCAGACTCAGCAGCCACTACTCACATCAGACACAGCAGCCACTACTCACAGCAGACACAGCAGCGGCTAATCACATCAGACACAGCAGCCACTACTCACAGCAGACACAGCAGCCACTACTCACAGCAGACACAGCAGCCACTACTCACATCAGACACAGCAGCCACTACTCACATCAGACACAGCAGCCACTACTCACATCAGACACAGCAGCCACTACTCACATCAGACTCAGCAGCCACTACTCACATCAGACACAGCAGCCACTACTCACATCAGACACAGCAGCCACTACTCACATCAGACACAGCAGCCACTACTCACAGCGGACTCAGCAGCTATTACTCACAGCAGACACAGCAGCCACTACTCACATCAGACACAGCAGCCACTACTCACATCAGACTCAGCAGCCACTACTCACATCAGACACAGCAGCCACTACTCACATCAGCCACAGCAGCCACTACTCACATCAGACTCAGCAGCCACTACTCACATCAGACACAGCAGCCACTACTCACATCAGACTCAGCAGCCACTACTCACATCAGACACAGCAGCCACTACTCACAGCAGACTCAGCAGCTATTACTCACATCAGACACAGCAGCCACTACTCACATCAGACACAGCAGCTATTACTCACATCAGACACAGCACCTATTACTCACATCAGACACAGCACCTATTACTCACATCAGACACAGCAGCTATTACTCACATCAGACACAGCAGCCGCTAATCACATCAGACACAGCAGCCACTACTCACATCAGACACAGCAGCCACTACTCACATCAGACACAGCAGCCACTACTCACAGCAGACACAGCAGCCACTACTCACATCAGACACAGCAGCCACTACTCACAGCAGACACAGCAGCCACTAATCACATCAGACACAGCAGCCACTAATCACATTAGACACAGCAGCCACTACTCACATCAGACACAGCAGCCACTACTCACATCAGACACAGCATCCACTACTCACATCAGACACAGCAGCCACTGCTCACATCAGACACAGCAGCCACTGCTCACATCAGACACAGCAGCCACTACTCACATCAGACACAGCAGCTATTACTCACATCTCAGACACAGGCCTTTTAGATTTCCTGTTACTGGATCGATGTTCAATGGTGTTGGCCACATCATCATATACTTCTTGCTCTTCGGGTGCCTGGATGTAGTTGCCAACATCATCATACAACTCCTCATTGGCATTTTCTGTAAATACAAGCGCAAGACAACATTTTATCATTAACAGGCACAGTTTCGTAGCATAGAGGATGATTCTTATTTCTTTACATGACAACATCCATTGTTTTAGAAACTGACATATTTGGATCTTTTCACTGAGCTGATGTTCCTGTCCCATCTGATGGAATGAGTGAGTGAGTGAGCCCGGTTTAACGCCGATTTTTAACAGTATTCCATTTATATCACGGCATGTCAGCTTAATGTGGGAGGAAAGCTCGATGTGATGCATGTCGCAGACGTTAACCACTTCGGTGAAACCCACAAGCACAGGTATGGTGCTGACAAACGTAGAAACAAAATCGGGATTCGAACAGACAATCATAGGTTTCTAGCGTGCCCAAGGGACGCAACTCTGCACAGCGAATCGCGGCGCCTTAGGCAACTGGGACACCCGTGTCCCCTCTACAACATAGAATTTGAACTGATGGACCACATAGATCCAGATATAGAATGACCACTTTTCATACTTACTATATTCGTCGAAAGCTTTTATGTATTCTGCTATAATATCCTTCACATTTGAGCCAAGTAGCTTGAGTGGTTTGATTGGTTTGAGGTCAGTGGTAATTATTGATGACTTTGGCAACTTTTCATACTTTTTACCATCGCCATTCCGTATCACAATAGTCTTTGACTGTGTTACATGCTTAGGAATGTTGGAAGAGGGGCTCTTTGGTGTATTTCCAGGAGAGAATGGAGACGTTACATCTGGTGATCGTTGACGTGGATGATTGAAAGTGATTTGTTTGGGAGTCGTATCCCCCGTACTTGTACGGCGTAATAACGCCTTTGGATCGAACTTCTGCCCCGAATCAGACTCTGATGATTTGGTTGTGGGTGAGGATGGTGATGTAGGTTTTGTAGCAGTCCCATTGACGGGCTTCTCCTCAATGGTCACCTCAGGTGAAGGACTCGTACCTCCAAATTTACCCGGAATGTTAACTTTGTTGCTTTGTCTTTTCCATGCAGGAACATTGGTGACATTTTGGTTTTGGTCGGTTTCTGGTTGAGAGTCTTTGCCCGTTGTTGGGGTCGGTTTCTTCCAAGCTGGTGTTGTCTTCTCCGGTCCAGATGGAGGTCTTTTCCAAGAAGGAGTGGTTGTGTGAGGGGCTGTCTTGTTTTCATCAGCCTTGTCGGATGTTGGTGTTGGTTTCTTCCATGAAGGAGTTGTCACAGTCTTGCTTGGTTCACTCTTATCCTTGTCCGAAGATGTCGGTGTTGGTTTTTTCCATGAAGGAGTTGTCACAGGCTTGCTTGGTTCATTCTTATCCTTGTCAACAGAAGTTGGCGTTGGTTTCTTCCATGAAGGAGTTGTCACAGTCTTGCTAGGTTCACTCTTATCCGCCACAGAAGTTGGCGTTGGTTTCTTCCATGCCGGGGGTGCCTTGTTGGCAGGTGAAGGTTCAGGGGATTTTGGTGGGGCAGGTTTCTTCCAGGAAGGAGTCCCCCCATTGCTGCCTCCTTGACCAGACTCCTCTCGCATGGCATGAAATTTGGCAAGCGCTGGCGACATGGGTTTACTACCCACGGTTGGTTTAGGACCAAACATGGCTATCTTGTCTTTCACTCCCAATACTTTGATATTTGTGATTGACGTCCCATCATCATAGATTTCTTCATCATTTACATCACCCTGTGAAATGGAAAACACACATACAATACAATTACACTGGATTCATTTAGTAGCGTGAATGTTGGGGATTTCCCTCTACATCATCACATGTTCTTAGCAATAGCGGGGGCACGGGTGGCCCAGTCGTCTTAGGCGCCGCAATTCGCTGTGCAGAGTTGCGTCCCTTGGGCATGCCAGAAACCTATGATTGTGGGTTCGAATCCCAATTCGCCCCGATTATGTTTCTAGGTTTGTCAGCACCATACCCATGCTCGTGGGTTTCACCGAAGTGCCAAACGTCTGAGACCTGCATCACTTCGGGCTTTCCTCCCACATTAAGCTGACACGCCGTGATATAACTGGAAAACTGTTAAAAGCGGCATTAAACCCAACTCACTCACTCACTCTTAGCAATAGCTCTGTCATCATGACAAAGATCTGTCTAAACGACCCCCGCAAATTAATCAAGTTGAAAATGAAAATGTTCCATGTCTTTGAGATCTAGCATAGCAGTGTTAAAGAGTGAGTGAGTGATTTGGGTTTAACGCCGCTTTTAACAGTATTCCAGTTACATCATGGCATGACAGCTTAATATGGGAGTAAAGCCCGAAGTGATGTCGGTCTCAGACGTTTACCACTTCCGTGAAACCAACAAGCACGGGTATGGTGACGACAAACCTAGAAACATAATCGGGGCGAACTGGGAATCGAACCCACAATCATAGGTTTCTGGCGTGCCCAAGGGACGCAACTCTGCAAAGCGAATCTCGGTGCCTTAGACGACTGGGCCACCCGTGCCCACTAGTGTTAAAGAGAGTGAGTGAGTGAGTTGTGTTTTACACTGCATTTAGCAATATTCCAGCTATGCCATACAAAGTGTTTTCATGTTGGTATTTGAACCTGTTTTTACAACATGAAGAGTGAACTAAAGACCTCTGTAAATCTTTCAAAACATTTAATGGTAGACATGTGGCAAACATTTCCAAATTTGGCGCATCAATGATAAAAATGATGTCCAATGCAATTCCCTATTTTGACTTGTACCGTATGCTCCAATGCTTTTTCAGGTGAACAAGACCGCCTCCGTGGTCTAGTGGTAGAGCGTCCGCATTCTCAACTGATACCTTACACTATTGTCTCTGACAGCAAATGTATTGACAAAAGTGATTTAGAGTCTCTATATCAAGTTCTCCATTCTTTTTCAATGTTGATATCACGACTCCAAGGTCATATATCTCACAGCATATTTCTTAACTGATACCTTACACTATTGTCTCTGATAGCAAATGTATTACCTAATGTGATTTAGAGTCTCTATATCAAGATCCCTGGATCTACCAGCCATGTTCCTGAATATATCCACATCCTCTGAGCACAACCCTAAATGTTCAAGGTCCACGTGGCTGGTTATAGCTACATTGAACATTGAACAGCATTCTGTTCTAGACAAAGCCAGTCTATCAGGATGTATGGCAAATATGACCAGGAAAACTGGAAGAATCAACAGTATCTATGAATTAGTGATAACAAGCTTCCTCATCCAGTTCATCTGTAGATGATAATGTCAGATTGTTTGCTCGTTTGCTTGTTTTTAACGCAACACTATATATGGGAAACAATGCCATCTTCATTATTGCGTTATTAGTTTGTTTGTCTGTTGTTTAAGGTCGCACTTTGCAATAGTCCAACTATATGACAGCGGTCTGTAAATAGCCAAATCTGGATCAGGCAATCCAGGGATTGACATCATGAGCATCGATCTTCGAAATTTTGAAACCATGACATGCATCAACCAAGTTGCCTCCTACAACACATGGGTTGCTGAAGACCAATTCTAACCTGGATGATGACTTCAAGGGGGATGCTGTCAGATTCAGACCAAATGTCTTTGCTAGATTGAGCTGATATAGACTAAAGTTAATATTTGCTCAATATTATCAGGCAAGACGACTTTCTAGTCCATTTCTATCCCAGGGAATGAACAAGAGAGATTACAAAAGTCAATTCACATTTATTTCATAAAAACTCCGCACTCAGCAATATTCCAGCTATATGACGGTCTGTAGTGAGTGAGTGAGTATGGTTTTACGCCGCTTTTAGTAATTTTCCAGCAATATCTCGGCGGGGGACACCAGAAATGGGCTTCACACATTGTACCCATGTCGGGAATCGAACCCGGATCTTCGGCGTGACGAGCGAACGCTTTTACCACTAGGCTACCCGACTATGACGGTCTGTAAATAATAGAGTCTGGACCAGACAATCCTGTGATTGAAAATATGCACATCGATCCACGCAATTTGGAATGATGACATGCATCAACAAAGTCAGCGAGCCTGACCACCCGATCCCGTTAGTCACCATTTACGGCAAACATGGGTTGCTGAAGACCTATATTCTACCCCTATTCTACCCTGGATCTTCACGGGTCACGCCAATGATGACTATGACCTGTCATGACCACTACTCCTGCAATATCAAGATACAGAAGCTCGCCATCATGACCATAAGTGGATGCTTCACACTTGAAATGTATCAGCAAGCTCACGAAGGAGCACATTCCATCCCGATCTACGATCTGATCGCCAGCATCTGTTTAATTCCAAAATCATGCAGGATCAATTTTGGGGATCACTCCTTTGCCAAAGCTGGACCAGTACTATCTTCCGGTTCATCTCCAGTGTTAGACTTGCACAAGTCTCTAAGGCAATAATCATTAGATTAAATCATAATTTCTAGACTATCTAATAATAAGAGCAAGTTGTCCCTATAGGAGACTGGAGTCTACTGTCCACATATCTAGATGACTATTAGGAAGATAGAAATTACAACACATCCATGGACTTTTCTTTCAGTACAGCCTTGGAGCAAGGCTACTCCGGTGTATTCAAGCCATATCTCCCTTTGAGACAGGTAAAGACTCACTTCTTGGGACAATCCACTGAACTATATGTCAGAGTTGTTCTCTACTTAGCGTCTTTGAGCGGTTATCACTGACTGGAGACGCCAGCACTCAATGAATATTATTATTGTTATTAGGGCTCCAAGCCTGAAAGACTGTAGAGCCCTATTGTAATCGTTCTGTTTATTATTATTATTGTTATCTTTTATCATTTTTATTACTTGAGTGACAATGTCCTTTGCGTCATCATGATTCTTAAACATCAAAATATTAACCTTGAAAATATGAAGTCGATCAAAGCATTACCCATAAATTAATATTATGGGGACCCCCTCCGTGGTCTAGTGGTAGAGCGTCCGCCCAAGAGCGGAAGGTCCGGGGTTCGATCCCCGGCCGCGTCATACCAAAAGACGTTAAAAGATGGTACTTGTTGTTACCCTGTCTGGAGCTCGGCATTAAGGGGCTAAAACAAGGACTGGTCGGCTCGGAGTCAGTATACTGTGTCTGAGTGGGGTATTCATGGTATCTCAGTGAGCTAGCACTATAAATCAGCATCAGTCCGGACTAGTACAAGCAGCCACACAAACACACACACGTACATGCACGTCGCTATAAAAGTGCAATAATCTTGGACGCGACATTAAACCCTATTTCCCCTCACCTAATATTATGGGTGCTTCGCTCATTAAATAGAAATCACTTACCAATATATGGTGTATCAAACTGCCATTTTATAATCTATTTTTGATTTGTTGATGTAGTCTTGTTATCACACCCAGAACTCAATTAATCAACATAATTAGAACCTCGGGCAATTAACGAAAGGGAAGTCACAGAAAAGCTTACTGGGAGAAACCATCCTGGATTAGTGTGTGTCAGGCTCTCCTTTGAAGGAGTATATTCCTGACAACTAAACATATGTTCTCAGACCCATGTATCAATCAGAGGTTTAATTAATATGCATAATACGTTTTTAATCCGTATGATCTCACTTACTCTTCATCAGCAAAACTGCAGTAACTGCAGATTTTATCATGGAATGTTATTTTTGGAGTGCTAATAAAATGCATAAAAATAAGATTTTTAGAAATGGAGAGCATCCCCCTCTCTTTCTAAATTACACCCTGACAAACCTTACTTGGTGTAAAGGGTTTAGCATGCAGGCTAAATGTTTCCTTAAGATTGATATTATCATCATGAAAAATACATTTGAAGTACCATATTCGACGTAATAAGCACCCAGGGCGCTCTCAAAACTAGAAATAGGGGTCTCTTATTAGAATGTTAAAGATAAATTTTGTGGTTTTTGCTGACAGCCTGAAATGTTTATATTCGACAGATATATTTTTCCAGAATTTAATTGCCAATAATAAAGGGTGCATATAACACACAAGTGCGTATTATATGCGAATAGGGGTCGGAAGGGGTGCTAATTGGGATTGTTCACTAGCCAATATATTAGCAAATTTCGCCGTGGGCGCTTATTAGAGCGGGGCGCTTATTACGTCGAATACGGTAGTTTGATAAGGGCCGAGAAGTCACTTAAAGAATGTCAGGTTGCCAAAGTTAATCCATACTATACAGCAAAATTTCATGCATCACGGGGGTGGTGGGGTAGCCTTGTGGTTAAAGCGTTCGCTCGTCACGCCGAAGACCTGGGTTCGATTTCCCACATGGGTAAGATGTGTGAAGCCCCTTTCTGGTGTCCCCCGCCGTGATATTGCTGGAATGTTGCTAAAAGCGGCGTAAAACAATACTCACTCACTCACTCATGTATCACGGCTATAGAACTAATTCACCATCCTAACATATATTCAAAATGTCCTCTAAAATAGAATTTTCCACTAATGTGTTCATTTGAAACACCAGACCCCATCGATCATAGAGGTTTTGAAAAGACAACAAACATTAGCAAATAATCAAACAAACAACCTTACAAAGCATATTTTTGACAGATTTTTCTCCGTACTACTTATAAATTAGGGTTGCAACGAATACACTATGAGGCGAAAATGACATGTATCACAAATTTTGGGTAACGAATACATTATTATTATTATCAGTATCATTATCATTATCATTATTATTATTATGCACTTATCCAGGTACTGTATCTGCT